CTTGGCACCGATGTGCAGCAGTTGGAGTTGCCACGTTCCAAATAGCACACAAAGGTAGACAGGAAAATGAGAGAAGAGTATCAATAGAATTTAGATAAGTATATGAGTGAAACAGAATGAGTAATGGTAGAAAGGAATATGAAGGTTAAAGAGACTGAATACATCTGCGTAAGCCATTGACAACGATTTCGAGCCATGTCACCTATTGTCTCCAGCCTTCATTGATTCTTAGAGTCCCGACGGCGGGCCCCAACCCGGAAGTCTGCATCTCCCTACCTGACTCAGTTTAACTGTCAAGGATTTCATGGATTGATTGATGCCATGTTTTTGTTTGGCCACCACTGACTCTTTTCCAACCTGCACCTATATCACCTAGTAATGCCCACTGTGGTGGGGAGACGATGGTTAGGCATGCGCAGCACGTGACCTAACCATCTCAATCTATGTAACTTTATAGCCTCTTCGAGTGATTTTCCCTCTTTGCCCAACACTCTACGCTTAACGTCAACATTACTTACCTTATTATACCACCTAACGTGAGAAAGAGATCGTAAACATCTGTGGTCAAAAACAGACAATCTCTTCATGTCTTCGGCTCTCAATGGCCATGTCTCACCGCCATAGAGAAGGACGGAGCGAACTGCTGAGCAGTATACACGTCCCTTGGTTGACAGCCGGATGTCACGCCTACGCCAGAGACGGTGTAAGTTAGCGAAAGCAGCCCGAGGTTTTTGGATCCGTGCTGTGATTTCGTCACCAATCAATCCGTTGGTGCTGATACAACTCCCCAAATAGGTGAAGTGGTCAACATGTTCTATCACTTCACTCCCTATCACTAAGCTAGGAGTTGACGTAGTCCAGTCATTCCTGTAGCAGCATCTTACATTTTACAGGAGCGAATCGCATGCCAAACATACGAAGATTGCTGCTCAAGGTGTTCAGAAGACTCTGCATTTTGTCAGCGTCCTCCCCTAACAGGACTATGTCGTCTGCGTATTCTAAGTCTATAAGACTATTCCCTGGTAACAAGTCGATTCCTAAGTCATTAAGTTCAGTTAAGGATACTTCCATTAGCATATCTGTAATGAAGTTAAACAGAAAAGGGGAAAGTGGACATCCTTGACGGACACCACTGGTTGTTATCAATTCAGATGACAATTCCCCATAAGCCCTTACACAGCTACGTGAGTTTGAGTAGAGTGCCTTGATTAGTGCAATGTACTTTCTTGGCACTCCCTTCATAGTCAAACATTGCCATAGAACCTCTCGATCCACGGAGTCGAAGGCCGTCTTCAAGTCAAGAAATATGGCAATTGTTGGACGCCTAAAAGTGTGCCTATGTTCTAGGATCTGTCGGAGAGTGAAGATATGATCTATGCACCCTCTACCTGGCCTAAAGCCCGCTTGATTTTCCCTCGTTTGTTCCTCCCGAGTTCGGCTTAGTCTGTGCATGATTACTGAGCCTAGGATTTTAGAGACTATGTTCGTTAGGCTGATTCCTCTATGATTATCACATGAGGACTTGTCTCCCTTCTTGAATATTGGTATAATAAGTGACTTACCCCAGTCTGATGGAACCGTCTCTGATTCCCAGACGTTACCTAGTACCTTAGTTAAACTATATACTAGTATGTCAGCCCCATATTTAAACACCTCCGGAATAATTCCGTCGGGTCCTACCGCTTTTCCTCGTTTCAAATTACAGATAGCTTTGGTGACCTCACTTACAGACGGCGGGCCAGTGTCTATATCCCATTCGGGTGTGTGCTGGATGGCGGGGAGGCTCAGTGTGGCTGTAGGCAAGTTAAACTGTTCCTCGAAGTGTTCTTTCCAGCGTCCGAGGCGTTTATCCTGAGAGCTAATTAAGGAGCCATTTTTCTCAGAAATAGTCTCACTTATGGTTTGCCTTCTCCCACCCGTTACCCTGATGAGTCTAAAGAGTTGCCTATCGCCTTGCTGACTAGTGAGTGCCAACTAGCACGAGGCCTGGGCGCAGCTAACGCTTCCTGTGGCCGATTGCCTCCAACAATCTAATGAAATGTTTAAAAACTAATATTTGAACTTCACTCTTTCTTCTATCTGTTCAGTTCACATCGGTTATATCACACATATACACTTAGATGAATATATATATAATTCTCAGTCATTTGACGTGAAACTGCATCTGTCTGAATTCACCCGAATTAGGTCTAATCGACTGTCTAATTAATATAAACACTGACTGTTACGTCTTCACAGAGTGGGGGAGTGAGAGAGACGCACGGTCTTAGTGTTTATGATGTGAAATAATGATTTCAAACATTTTGTGTACACAACACATAACATGATTGAGGATAAACAAATTAGCTAAGTGAGACGAAACAAAACAGAACAAACAGAGCGAAGATTCCCCATAATAAAAGTGCAAACAGCACACATATGAACATCAGTATGTCAGAGGTAGGATACTCGCCAACTACACTGCCACACATGGCCTGGGATTCTCTATATCGCCACCTGCCAAGTCGCTCCTTAACCTCACAAATTCACCAGTAAGGCTAAAACAACAGAAAGCAAGACACGTAAGCCAAGGTATATTTTCTATTGATCAAACCGCTGTTTATATTCACATCTACAGTTTATAGTCTTTAACCAGTCACTGAGCGTGTGATTTTGGCTAACATTAAATTATATGAAATAGAATGTTCAGATATACATAGTAGTCTTTCGATAGAGTAGTGTATAACCGTGAGAAAATTATTCTATCTCTAACATCAAATAGAATGTCCAATTATATATACGTAGTATTCTGTTGCTAATGCTGTATGGAACCGTGGGAATATGTGAGAATAATATTCCGTTGGCACATATTGTCTGTATCACACCACCACAAGACTAGTAAAGAAGGAAGGCTTTGAGTGTGAGGATAGTAGCGACCCTACCGCTTAAAAATGAAAGAAAACCACCACAAGTGAAACTTCAAAACTCAAGAGGTTTGAAGTCCTCCTATGTTCCAGTAGGAACGTAAAGGAATAAAATACACAAACAACGTTGGACCATATGATTGAGTGGATGTTATTTGAGACAATCAGAATAAGAATAAATATGACTAAGACATGTCGATGACACCTTTGTGCTATTGAAACAGGACCTACACAGCTCATTCTTGGAGAAACTGAACAATTAATCTCCAAGCATTCAATTTACTTTGGAAACAGAATTAGACTTTGGTCAGTTAACAGATTGCCTGTTGAAGAGGAAAGGAAACAGATAGTTGAATATGTCTATATTCAGGAAGAAAAGACAACTCAGCAAATATCTAGACTTCGGATCATCACACCTCACCAGTGGAAAGGTATCAGTTGTCTCAAGTCTTCTCAGACGACTACACTCTATGATGATGACAGATTAGAAAGAAAAATAAGAAGAAATATCAAATATTACGGAAATCCTCAGGAAAAATAACTATCCAAAGAACTTGATGGCTAAAACCAACATCAATATTAAACATGGTCGAAAATATATTCTGAAGATGTGGGACCTCAAAAGTTGTCATTTCATAGTGACCAGACACACACCGGACGATATCTGAAGACTTCTCAATAAACACAACATCAGAGTTTTCTTCAAAACATCAGACATGCACACTGCAAAGCAACGCTGTCCATCTACAAGACCGAACTTCCAAAGATTCACAATCTAATTATGTCTAAAAAATAAACTGCTTGGAATGTGATGTGACATACATCGGACAAACTTCGCAGGAAATTAAGGTCAGGAGAAATGAACACCGTACAGCCACCTCCATTCAACCACCGAGAACACCAGTTGAAGTAGAAAAGCTTGAAAAATCATCGGGCATAGGTCGCCTACACACGACGCTACAGAATCAGGTTACAAAATTGATTTTGACAATATTCAAAATCATTATCCAGAAAAATTTTAGAAATCACAAAGAACGTCTAACATCATCAGAAGCACTTCATATCTAATGGAATGTAAATTGTCTTAATACGAATGATGGACTAAACACCGCTGCCTTCCCATTAAGTAGTGACAAAATCAACACAAATGTGATAAGCAATTTCATTATGTAAAGACAAGCTGCTTTAATAATTTTATACGATTATCGAATCCAACAGTCTATACATGGCTTTGTTGTATTTACCAATTTCACCAACTTGACAACGTGAAAGTTACTTCATACTGAAGAACGATGATGAAATTTGCTATATATATATATATATATATATATATATATATATATATATATATATATATATATATATATATGTTTAAGGTAAGATTACGGATTGATATCAGTTAGAGAACCATTGAAAACCAACCAGGAAGTATTGGACAGCTGTTTCCTCAACCTAGTGCTTGGGACTCATAGGCAGTGCGTACCCACCGCCAAGGTTCAAACCCAGAACCTTCCGGTTACATGATGCTCGCTAGTGACTACTGGCTACAGGACGAAATTGTCTGCAGTTCTACGGAGAAGTCATCACAAGCAGTGGAGTTCATACAGTTTGAAATGACGATGGAGTTCCCACCGATGACATTGGTTGGTGCCAGTCGCACCAAGTTCATCACGAATTGGTAGAAGTTAGAATTCACACATGGGAAAGCCATTGAATCGGGTCCCAATGGTTGAATGGTCTACGAGCTAGCTTGCCTTGTAACCGGAATGTTTTGGGTTTGAACTGTGTTAGTGGGTGCGTACTGATGATGAGTCCCAATCTAGGACGAGACAACTGTCTGTCCAGTACTCCCGGGTTGGTTTTCAATGGTTCTCTAACTGATATCAATCCATCGTTTTTCTAATTACCCTGGGAAATATAAAAACTTTTATAAAACTACCTACCCACCCTATTTGATTAATAGGTGAACAAACCGCCCCCCCCCGCCACACACACACACAAATTAAAAGGGAAACAAAAACAACCACTTTTCTTTCCCAAGTTGTAAAGGAGTAAAACAAAGAGACAGATACGCACACACACACATGGGGTGCTTACTTTTAGCATCAGCTTTAGGATATAAATCTTTCCAAGCTTTTCTAGGATTATTTTTAAACTTTTCAACAAAACTTCGAGCCTGTAAAACGAGAGAAAAAAACAAACAACAACAAAAAACAAATAATTTCAAATAGTAAATAAAATTAAATTATCATACTTGGTCCGTGTTGTAAGCGACAGAGACAATGTTAAGCGTGAAACTTATGACTTGCTTTGTTATTGACAACATAATTTTAGGCTCTTTTATTTCTCTCTTATTTTGTATTCTTTAGTGAACTCCTTCTTAAACATACTTAGCTACCTAAATTATTAACACTGGCTTCCTTTTTGTAATTTACTGTATTCCTTCTTTTGTGTATCTACTGGTTCCGACTATATTAGCACTATGAGTATTACAAAATTGTCCTGTCATTAACCATCATGTTATTATTAGTTTTTGTGGTTGTTTTTTCTTATTTTCTATACTTTTCGGCAATATTAAACTGACAATCACTGGTTATGAACGCCATTACCATCATCTCAAAATTTTGTATTATGCAGGATTACTCACACTACCACTACAAACACTGCATTAGATCTGACAATAAAAAACAAAACAACAACTCTGAAATGTTATTTAATGATTGTTTAGAGTTGTTTCAATCAAATTAACTGAGCATCTTGGCGATAAACATTCCTAAATATCATTTCATAACTTCTTGTATGACTATAGCTTTACTGTTACCATGCATAATCATATCATAGCTTCCACTACTCAATACCGAGTTATTATTATATGTTTATTCTCCTCTCTACTTCTTGGTATTTTTTCGCATTTATAATTATTTTTGTGTTTATCCTATTTTCCGGTTGTTTTTTTTTGCTGTTGGTGTCTTAAGATTTATTTTTTTTGTTAAATACTCCTTTTAAATGTTTGTAAAATTAGATGCAAATATTGTAGATATGTGCTGAAAATTCCACACTGTACTACTAGTATTGTTTCTGGAATAAAGCAAACCATTATTATTATTATTTTATAATAATTGGTCACTATGTATGTGTATGTATAAATTTGTACATTATATGGTTGGTGGCAATCGGTCACAGGAAGCCTTGACTGCACCTAGGTTTCGTGCTAGTTGCCACTCATACCAGTCAGTTAGCAAAGCATGTATCTGAATTTTTGAAGGAACTCGTGTCGCTCTTGAGATCTAAACGTGCACCACCTAGTGCAGCAGTCGGAGACGCTACGTTATCACTGAGCTATTTGGCGTGGTGATTCAGCTCCTCTAGGACTGTGGTTTATTATTAGATGCTTTGATTAGACACACTAGTTATCAGCTAATGTCCAATCAAAGTATAAATAAGTGTGCTGCGTAAACAGTCCGCTTTGTCCCCCTTTATGGCTGTGAGACATGGCTACTGAAAGTGGAAGATATGAAAATGCTGGAGAGTTGTCGTTGACCATAGACGTTTGCGTTCTATCTCCACTGCCTTCCACGACGAGTTGTGTCAGCCGACATACTATCAGGTTGGGAAAAGAGTTAAAAATGGTCAAACCCAAACCTAACATCAATTTTGTGAAGTCTTTGGCAGTTTAGTCTAGGTTAGACACCTAAGAATATTATTTTATTCCTTCACGTTCCCATGATATCATGAATTTGTCATATTCAAGAATGGACGTAATGGTACGTTCTTTTGTAGAACATATAACCGGGGAATTACAGAACTTGAGGGTCGTATTTGCTCAGATAAATCAGAGCTGATAATCAATTCGTTCTTCATCTTTCTTCTTCAGCATTGGTGTTATCCTCCCTTCAATTTGTTCCGTGTGGTCTTTCTGGTTACTTTCTCTTGAAAATTTTGTTTCCATCTGATATGATGAATAATTAATATTTTATTGACGTAGTCTTGGCGATTCATCAGGACAATGCCAGCAGCTTTATCGTGACGTATCGACATCAAATCTTTATTGTTTAAAGTCTCAAGTGGTTGATTTCTGTGTTGGTCAGCTGAAATCAATCGTTTGACATTTGTTTTTGTATTCATATACTGCTGTGACAACCATTCATTCAATACTGTAGAATTGAATTGAATTGAATTGTGCATAATGATTTGTTTGACATTGAGAGAAGATCACACTTATCTGATGATGGATCAGTGTGATTGGAACTGGACTTCCTTTTTTTTCTATCCAAGTCACTTGAATTTGTCGAGATGTCACAGAAATTTGAACTGAACGACAAAGCTTTCAATTGGATAGGGGTTAATGAGTAGTTACTAGAGTAGTTGAAAACACGTATTTCTCTGGTGTGACAGGAAAAGGGGCGAATAGGTGTCTTGCGAGTTTCAGGTGGTTTAGATTCTCACTCTACTGTCAATAATGGCTCGCAGACATCTTCCTGCTTATCAGAAATAAACTCTGTCAGCATAGTATGTATTGTTGTTTTGGATTCATTCAAATTCGTCGATTCAATACTCACTTTTTTCATTTACGTCCCTAGTGGAACATGTGGTGGCTTCAAGCTAGAGCTACGAAGTTTCGGTAGCAGTAGGTTTTCTGTATTTCTACGGAGTGGGGTTGCTAGCCTCATGCCTAACCTTTCGTCTTTACCAGTCTTATTACTGGCTTAGAGAGGTAGAAGAGGAGTGCGTCTGTGGCCGGGGATCGAACCCCGAACCACGTGGGGCGTGGTTGGCGAGCATTCTACCGCTGTGCAAGCAATGCACAGATATGTAAGCAGATGTAGATTATCTGGTCGGGATCCTCAGGATGCTAAAAAGCAATGACAGGAGGCTGACTATTGGTAACAGATCTCAAAATCGTTTGTCAACGACACAAATGCACTCAATCCTTCATTAAACTCTCTTGTTTTTCCATGCTAACTTGATTGGTTGACTGGTTTCAACACTGAACATTGCACAGGTGTGCACCAGTTCGAGTTGCAACTCTCCCCCCCCCCCATGTAGCACACAAAGCAAGAGAAGAGAGTAAAAAGAGGTTCAAAAGAGAGAGACAGAGAGAGATAATAAACAGAAGTGTGAGTGGCGGAAAAAGAATAGTAATATGAGAGATTAATAGAGTTTTATTGGATATGAAAGATCCCAAAGAGCGAATGTATCTGCACCAGCCATTGACAACGATTTTGAGCAATATCACCAATTGCCTCCAGTCACTGAGTCTTAGAATCCAAATGGCCAAACCAGAAAGTCAATCTACATCTCCCTATGCGACTTAAACTGACTGTTATGGTTTGGTCACTATTAGCTCTTTACCAACCTGATGCTATGTTAGTTAACATTTCCAGTCGAAGAAAGAGATGGCTAGGTATGCGTAACACATGTCCTAGCCATCTCAATCGACGAAGTTGTCAAGCTACATCGATTGATTTTCCCTCCTTACCTAACACTCGACCAATGCCTAACCTTAATATTACTCACCCTACCGTACCACCTAACATGGAAGATAGAACGCACACGCCTCTGATCATATTTTTCACTTTCCATAGCCATGTCTCACAGCCATAACGGAGGAGAGACAGTACGCACGATAGCCAAATATCATGTCTCGACTGTAGATAACGTAAGTTAGTAAATCACACACGCACCTTTTGTTTCCGTGCTGAGATTTCGTCAGTGATCGGTGCTGTTGGGGTTAACGCAACATCTCAAATAAGTGGAGAGTAGTCAGCACGCTCCACTAACCACTTCACTTCCTATCTTTAAGTTAGGAGTCAGTGTAGTCCACTCCTACAGTATCATCTTATATTTGACAGAGGAAGCGAATCGCATGCCAAACATTCGAAAATTGCTTCCTGATTAAGGTGTTCAGAAGACTCTGCATTTTGTCAGTATCTTCACCTAGGAAGGAGGACAGTATCATCTGCATACTATACTTTAAGTCGACAAGACAGTCCTCTGGTCAATCCCTAACTCGCTGAAGTTAGTCAGGGTCAATTCCATTAGTGCACCTATTATGAAATTACATCAAAACAGTGACAAAACTGAGCACAGTTGACGGATACCACTGGTTGTCATCACTTCAGATAACAATAACTCTCCGAAGGCTCTACGATATATATTGACGCATCTGAACTTCTAGTCTTATCGCTACTCAGTTGAACTTTCCAGGAACAAGACTATTCCAGCCAACATAATATGTTGGCCGGAAGCCGTGACCACTGGGGTACGGCTGGTCAGATGTGAGGACAAACACTCATCACCAATAACGCTGGCTAGTGCCAGTCGCGCTGTTTCCAGAATCGGCAGAAGTTGGAATTCATTGGCTAGCCATTGGATCGGGTCCCAGTGGCTTAATGATCTACGAGCTAGCTCGTCTTGTAACCGGAAGGTCCTGGGTTCTAACTCTGCTCGGTGGGTGCGTACTGACGAAGAGTTCCAAGCGCTAAGACCTTCTCTGACCGATGTCAGCTCATGATGAAATCCTCTAAAGCTATTATTATTATTATTATCATTAGTTAAAAGCTGTCTTGTTATCAGTCTTGTGATTCATAGTTAATCAAATGTTTTGCCACATGTGTTTATCGAGATTCCCCCCAGTTCAATTGCCTTTCAAACCATTTGGGTATGTGTTGTCTCCCACTTCCTATGTACGTGTGACCACACACGCACACACACACACACACACATGGAAATTGATATACAGTATAGAATGTGACATAATCACTTGTGTAATGTTGAGACACACATGTGAGGTAGAGCATATATATATTGTTAGCTTCTCAGATAAATATATGTCACAAATAGATCACATTTTTCAAATAAACTCAGTCTTTGTTGGTATTAGATAGTTGGAGGCAGTCGGCAGGAAGCCTCGGACCTAGGTTTCGTGCTAGTTGGAACTCATCAGCAAGGCGTATCTGCAACCTCGAAGTAAAAACTCATGTCCCTTCTAAGATTCGAACCCACGTCACCCAGTGCTGTAGTCAGAGACGATGGCGAGCTACTCAGAACGGTGGCCATATTGCAAACCTGAATGAAAGAATTCAGCCTGCATCAAAGAAATGACTAGACACATCACACTAGTTACTCGTGTACAATCAAAGTATATATATAAAGAGGAATGTAACACTAACCTTGTCATTTACAATCCATACTTGATCCTCCTTACTCGGTGATCCTAAGACTCCGAGGATAAGGGTTAACTGTTCAACATCTGATTAGAATAAAAGTTAAGGAAATTAAATGGTACAAATATGGTTTAATTTTCAAGTATTGATCATTTTTTAGGGATTTCGTTTGATTGGTTGGAGTCGACATCAGTTAGAGAACCAATGGAAAACCATCCAGGGAGTACTGGACAGTCAGCTGTTTCGTCCTAGTGCTTGGAACTCTTCATCAGTACGCACCCGCCACAGGGGCTCGAACCCATGACCTTCTGGTTACAGCGCTAATGCGATCGTAGACCATTAAGCCACTGGGACCCGATTCAATGGCCAGTACATGAATTCTAACTTCTGCTAATTCATGACATAGCGCAACCACTTCGCAATTTCTTCTTTCGATGAGTTATTGCGCCTCACCAAACTAGGACGAAACAGCTATCCAGTACTCTCTGATTGATTTTCCAATGGTTCTCTAATTGATGTCAGCTCATGATGAAATATGGTCTAAATTATTTCCCTTATCTATCCATCAGGGGAAGAGAATTTCTGAACTGTATTTCACGTGTTAACAGTTTCTGTGGTAATAAATATTAGGAAAGACATATATACATATATAAGCAAATGCAGGCAATATAAGAAGCACCATAGCTATATGCTTTACTTGAAGCTGTCATACTATATGACATTACATAAGTCTGAAGACATACTAGTGTAACGACAGAAGACAAGGGCCAGGCAACAGATCGTTTATTGAGAAAATCAACTGACATTTATAGATTTTTATGTACATTATTGTCAGCGAAGAAGCAACTTCTTCTGATTGGTTGTTTCCTTGCTGAAGGTTATTCTGTACTGCTTCTGATCGTTTCTTAGAAAGTTAAGTCATATATCTACGATTCGTATTTGCACACGTTAAGTCTCCTGTGATTGGTTGGTGAGTCCCTCAAAGGTTAAGCTTTGTAATTGTTTTACTCATGACCCCGATTCGGGAATTAGCATTGACGTAAATTGCTGTCTACAATTTCTGGCTTGCAACCAGCTCTCACCAAACTAGTAACGAAATTTAGTATTATTATGAGTACTAGCGCATTTCGTCTTATTTGGGACTCGTCACCTGGATGTACCTGCAATCCAATGCTAGTCACCATCCAACAATTAACTCCTAATTACATGCCTAGACATCTTCGAAGCATCTACAAAAGAAGTCGACATGTCAACCTGAGACCAAACACTTCGATCCAATCAATCGACGGGAAAATCTAAAGTTGAATTAAATAATTAATATGACCCGCTGTTGCCCAAGAGGTAGTGGCTCTCGTGGCCCAAGTGGTCTAGTGGATAACGCTTTGGCGTTTGAAACTATGACCACTGGGTTCGAACCTCGGTGGTGGGAACGTCTTCACTCATTGTGGAATACAAGTAAATCTGTTAGTCAGCGTTTCCCGAGTAGGACGAAATGCGCATTGTCCTGGATTCCACACTGCCAGTCACCATCCACCAATTAAAGAACTAGACACACATTACACTAATTACTAACTAGTGTCCAATCAAAGAAAAAAATTCATACACTAAGATACGAAAAAAACAACAACAACCACAACAAAATGTATAAAGGATACAATGTTTTCCAGGGAATAATGGTCGACGATTTAACATCTCGCCAAAAATACAACCCACAGACCATATATCGATTGCTTTTGTATAACTTTTTGAACTGAGCATAATTTCTGGCGCTCTATACCATCGTGTTGCAACATACTCTGTTAGCATACCCATATGATCATGCTCAGGATCATTGACTCGAGCTAATCCAAAATCACAGATCTAAATATTAAAGAAAAAGAAATAAACACATACACATACTTCTGGTTACTCGCTGCTAATCAATATTTGACAAAGACTGTATTGAATACAACTCGAATGAGTTCCATGTGAAATAAATATTGTAGCATTGTAGTTCAATTAAATAGTCTGTCATTGGCTTTCATCTTTCTTGATTTGTGTTTGTAAGTATGGTAATGTACTTTTTGCAGTCTAAGTGAAAAGCATTTTGATGCAAGACTGGTAAAAGCTTGTACCTGTACTCACTCCAGCAGATTTACCACTTGAAGTTATAGGTAAGTTCATGTATATAGGAAATTATCGGACTACTGGAAGTGTAACGGATGAGATCTCCGACTGTATATTGAAAGCCAAGGCGACATAAACCAATCTGGCCCATTTGAATGTGTTCAAACATCATGATATCTGGCTATCGACCAAAGGGCGTGTGTACTGTTCGGCAGTTCGCTCCGTCCTCCTTTAATGGCTGGCTGTGAAACATGGCCATTGAGAGTAGGGGATACGAAAAGGCTGGCTAGCTGTCTTTGATCATAGGTGCCTGCGTTCTATCTCCCGTGTGAAATGGTATAAAAAGGTGAGCAATATTGAGATCAGGCACCGGTCGAGTGCTAGGTAAGGAGGGGAATTGAATCGACGAGGTTGTGAAGCTACATCGACTGAGATGGTTAGGCCATGTGTTACGCACGCATGACTAGCCTAACCATCGCCTTCATCGACAATGGGCAATGTTAGCTGACGTAGGGTCAGACTGGAAAAGAGCCAGAGGTGGTCAAATCAAAACATGGCTTCATCAGTCAATGAAATCTACAACAGTTAGTCTAAGCCACGTAGGAAGGTGTAGACTTCCTGGTTGGGGTCCTCAGGACGGTAAAAACTAATGAAGGCTGGAGACAACCGGTGGCATGGCTCAAAGTGATCGTTCTCAATGGAAGGCGCAGATACATCCACTTCTTGTTACTTATAATACCCAATAAAACTATATTGTTCATCGTTATTACTATTCCTTTTGTCTCATATCTCTGTCTACTGTGTCTATGATGCATTTTTTCTACTTTCTTCTCTTGCTTTGTATGCTACATGGAGGGAGTGTGGCGACTTGAACTGCTGTACATCGGTGCAAAGTTCTATGTTGAAAACAGCCAATTAGTCAGTCAGTTCAAACATTTACCTAGATCAATAGGCAAAACAGACGACTGCTTGACTGACTGAGTCAGTCTTCTTTAGAAGTAACAATAATAATAATAATAATAAGGAATTCCAAGTCTCGATATTACGGTCGTCTATAAAAGGACCAATAGAAATTCTAGATAAGATTCTTAATAAGGTTGGATATTAAGGTGTCATCTGAACCAACTAATTCACTCAGAGACAAACTTTGTCGCCTTAAGTAGCCTATAGATCTCATTAGAACAGATAAACTAATTGACAAAAATATCATGCAATGATTGTGAAATCAATTATAAATAGGTCAAACTTGTAAACCTAAGTCAGTTAGGTTATTAGAACGTCGAAATTTAGCTAAGTGTAGAATAATTGACTGAGCTAAGTGTTAAAGTATACGTGAAGAGCAGCCTGGTTAAATCATTGGGTTGCTAGAATTTCTATCCAACAAAATGTTGCTTGCAGTCTTCTGCATTTCTCTTATTGTTTTAATTATGAAACTATATCAAATGATCGCTACATGAACTCGCGCACTCAAATATTTAATTAGCTTTCACCAAAACTACAGGAGGAACGGACGAGGATGTCAAATGGAGAATCGGGAAGGCAAGAAACACATTCACCAATCTGAAACCAATCTGGAAATCTTCTTCACTCAACATCAACAACAAAATTCGGAATTTCAATACAAACGTCAAGTCAATTTTGCTTTACGGATCAGAAACTTGGCGGGTTACAGAGAATTTTTCCAGCAGGTTGCAGACCTTTATCAACAACTAACTGTCTTCGCTGGCTCTCTACTGAAGATCAGATGGCCGGAAAGAACAAGAACCAACAAGAAACTATGGGAAGAAACAAAACAGGAACCAATCGCTCAACAAATATGCAGGAGAAAGAGGACATGGATTGGACACTCACTCGCTGAGGAGGCCACTCGCTGGGTGACATCGCGCGTCAGGCCAACGCTCGAGTGGAACCCGAAAGGGAAGCGGTGAGTGGGACGTCCCAGGGTGACATGGATGAGATCGTGTGAAGAGGAGTTGAAACAGCATGGACTAACCTGGATGCAAGTGAAAAGTACAGCAGAAGATAGAAGCAAGTGGAGACGTGCAGTTGAAGCCCTATGTTACACTAGGAACCCAAGGGAACAATAATAATAATAAAACTCTGTGCAACTCTTGAAGAAAATGAAGAAATAGTCTACAGAATAGGTTCTTTCTCTATATGCGCAACACGAATAAGTCACATGATATACTTAAGATTTTCAAGAATTAGTTTGTAGGGATTAGAGAACCACTGAAAACCAATCAGAGAGTACTGGACAGATAGCTGTTTCGTCAGCCTAGTCTGGGACTCATCAGCAGGTGGGTTTCGAACCCAGAGCCTTTCGGTTACAAGGTAAGCTCGCATACCTGAAACAAACAGAATCCCCGCAAAACTAATTCTTGGAAATTAATCTGATGCTCGCTATTGACTACTGGCTACAGGACGAAGTTGCCTGCAGAAGTCGTGACCAATGGGTGTCTATCTAGTTCGGAGTGAGGATGGAGTTCCCTCCGATGACACTGGTTGATGCCAATTGCGCCAATTGCATCACGAATTGGTAGAAGTTAGAATTCATGCACGGGCTAGCCATTGATTTGGGTCCCGATGACTAAACGCTATACGAGCTTGCTTTGTAACCGGAAGGTTCTGGGACCGAACCCTGGCGGTGGGTGCGTACTGACGATGAGTTACAAACTAGGCTGACGAAACAGCTACCTGTCCAGTACTCCCTGGTTGGTTTTCAATGGTTCACTCTCTCCATGTTCTAACCTGATACTTGAGATTATTACTTTACATGCAAAATCCTGTATGAAGAGAAATATTTTGGATTTATTTATTTGTTTAAACACAGAAAACTTGGTATAATATAGCACCAAGAGAAGATGCGCCACACAATAATAATAAAACAACATAGATTAAAAGTAAAAATATAGCTGGAGGACGGATAAAGAACTTCATCTGGAAGAAAAACAGTCATACTTAACAAATTCAAACAGTATTCGTCAACTATCACCGGGAAGAGGAGAAAGAAGGAAACTGCAACACGTTCGCCACTGATTACGATTCTTGGCCATATTTGATAGCGTCTCGAGCCATCAACTCGAGCTATCACTCGGACTCCAACCAGGGAGTTGTGACGCACCAACCGATGTTAACCTTACACAAATATCCTTTATCCCACAATGCCACCTCTCCGTTCTTTCCATCCCGACCCAAGGCTACCGAACAGGCATCGGTACGGAAGCCTTTGGGATGACATGCGCAGGATATGTCCAAGCCATCGAAGCCGGTGTTTCCAGATGACCACACTCAATCAATGGTGATCTTCACTGTGTCGAAATGCACACCACCGCAGCTCAGAATTACTCACGCGATGATGCCATCGAACGCAAACGATCCTGCGGAGACACCGATGATTGAATACGCAGAGTCGCCGCACATCCTCAGCTTGGAAAGGCCAGGTCTCACAATAGTAGAGCAAGACATCCTGCGCCGAAGCATTGTATACCCGACCTTTGACAGCCAGGCTAACGTCACGATGGCGCTAGAGGTGGCTCAAGTTAACGTATGCCACCCTAGCCTTCATAATACAGTTGGAAATCTCATCCAGCATCCCTCCGCCAGCACTCACACAACTACCCAGATACACAAACTTATCAACATCTTCAAGCGGTTCACCTGCAAGAGTGAGTGCAGGTACAGGCTCCTACCAATCTCGTAACAGTACTTTGCACTTGGACGGCGCAAAGCGCATACCATACTTACAGACACTGATCTCCAATTGATTAAATACGATTTGAGCAGCCTGCATGCTATCGCACAGTAAGACGATATCGTCTGCATACTCGAGGTCAAAAAGTTTCTCTCCAGGGAACAGATCTACACCACATTCACGCATATCCTTCACAGGTGACCCCAGAATGTCATCGATGGCAAAGTTAAAGAGAAATGGGAAACCCTGTCTAACCCCACTGTTGGTTGGGAACAGTGATGATAGTTGGTTGTATGCCCTCACTCTAACTGAGGTGTTTCTGTATGGGGCTTTCAGGATGTTCATGAACTTCTCAGGTACACCCCTCTCTAACAGATAGTTCCAGAGCACAGATCAATCCAACGAATCGAAGGCAGTCCTAATATCAAGAAACATAACGATTGTTAGCCTGCAATACGAGTGGCGGTGTTCCAACAACTGACGAAGGGTGGACACACGATCAATGCATCCACGGCCTGAACGAAACACAGCCTGCCAATGTTTTAGACACAACTGGTAACAGACTGATACCCCTATGATTGTCTCATGTGTTACGTCGACCGTTTCTAGACATGGGGACAATAATGGCTTCATTTCACATTGATGGCACTACCTCAATCTCCTATACCCTCTTGAATAATCCAGTTAAAGCGATAACGAGAGTCTCACCACCATCTTTAAAAAGAGCTGGGGCTGGATTGTCTGGGCCAGGTGCCTTATGGAGTTCCAGTACTTGGAGTTCCTTCCGGACCTCCGCTTCGTTTGGTGGGTCAGTACTGACCGACCAGGGAGCACTGGAGCTTAAGACGGTAAGACACTGGAGCTGGTGACCAGAAAAACTGCTTCTTAAAGTGCTCTGCCCAGCGTTCCAGGTGTCTTTTCAGGGTGGCAATTGGCTTCCCATTCTGCCTCACAGACCGTCTCGCTGACACATTGTTTCTTGCTGCCGGTGGCTCGGATGAGCTGGAACGGCTTCTGAATGTTGCCAGGTACAGCAGCTGACTCTATCTCACACGTAAGTTCTGACCACCAGGCTTCACGGTCCTTACATAAATACTGTGTGATCTGTCTGATTACAGGGCGGAGTTTCTAGCCTCATGCCCCATCTTCCCTCCTTTTTGGGTATCTACTAACCGGTTAGTTAACTAGGCAAGGTTTAGGAGTACCTCGACCGGGAACTGGACCCAAACCTCCCCCATATGGCTGGTCGACGAGGATTCCACCAGTGCACCACCACCACCACAAACGTATACTCATTAGATGGTGAAAACCTTTTAAAAAAGTAACGGTGAACGAAGAAACCATTCACTCGAATGGCTTCCTTCGTATTTTTTGTACAAATACAAAAACAAAACTCAAAACACTCATTATCTACATCTTTGAATACAAAAAACCTTGCAGAAATACCAAATTACCTTTAAATCACAGCTAGCGTTTAACAGGAGATTGGAGGGCTTTAAATCACGATGTAAAACATTCGCAGAATGGATATACTTAAGACCTAAGGACAACAAGAAAATAGTTCAAAGATAATTTGTATATATATACATACATTTATATATATTTTCAAACAAGAGACAATCTTACCTCGAAGTACTTGATACAAAAAATAACAAGTATGCTCTCCTGATAATTCTTGTGTTTTCAACAACTTGTACAGGTCAGTATCCATTAGCGTTTGAATGATATAACTGAAATTTAATAGGGTGCGGGGGGGGAGGATGGAAGAAATAGTTAGGCTAAGGCGTAAACACTGAAAACTTACACATCTTTCATGTCTTCTAACGTATTTCCAACCAGTAGGATATTTTTGATATCGATTATCTGAATGGAAGAAAGAAAGAAGAAGGAGAAAAGACATCAATAACAAATGTGGATAAGGCATGTGACTTCAAATTAGAAGGTTGAGGGGGGTTCGAGTCCCGTTGTCGTCGGGGCTTTTGGTGCGTCGGTGGTTCAATGATAGATTCGAGTTCGATTGCCAACTAATACACTTATGAAACTCGCCCAACTGCTATTAAACCGCATAAAGAGGGAAGGTTGGATGTGTCACACTAGAAATTCCATACCGTAAAAACAAAATTACAGCTACTGAAGCTATAAAGCTCCTACTTGAAGCCTTATTTTACAATCGGAACATAAAGGAATGGGGAAGGAGCGGGAATCCTGATATCTCCTATGCCAAAACCTTTGGTTTATAACTTCTGATAGTTGCTGGCGTGTGCTACTGACAAGATTTATTAGTAGTACGTAAAGGCTGGATTCAACATAGAACTTGACACCGAAGTGCAGCAGTTCGAGTTGCCACGTTCCAAATAGCACACAAAGGTAGACAAGAAAATGAGTGATGAAGAGAATCAATAGAGTTTTGACAAGTATAAGAGTGAAACAGAATGAGTAATGGTAGAAAGGAATATGTGAAAGATTACAGAGACTGAATATATCTGCGTTAGCCATTGACAACGATTTTCAGCCATGTCACCTATTGTCTCCAGCCATTGATTCTTAGAGTCCCGAGGGCCCCAACCCGGAAGTCTGCATCTCCCTACCTGACTCAGTTTAACTGTCAATGATTTCATGGATTGATTGATGCCATGTTTTTGCTTGGCCACCACTTACTCTTTTCCAACCTGCACCTATATCAGCTAGTAATGCCCGTCGGGGTGGGGGAGGCGATGGTTATGCATGCGCAGCACGTGATCTAACCATCTCAATCTATGTAACTTTATAGCCTCTTCGATTGATTTTCCCTCTTTGCCCAACACTCTACGCCTAACGTCAACATTACTTACCTTATTATACCACCTAACGCGAGAAAGAGATCGTAAACATCTATGGTCAAAAACAGACAATCTCTTCATGTCTTCCGCTCTCAATGGCCACGTTTCACCACCATAGAGAAGGACGGAGAGAACTGCTGAGCAGTACACACGTCCCTTGGTTGATAGCCCGATGTCACGCATACGCCAGAGACGGTGTAAGTTAGCGAAAGCAGCCCGAGCTTTTTGGATCCGTGCTGAGATTTCGTCACCAATCAGTCCGTTGGTGCTGATACAACTTCCCAAATAGGTGAAGTGGTCAACATGTTTTATCACTTCACTCCCTATCACGAAGCTGGGAGTTGACGTAGTCCAGTCCTGTAGCAGCATCTTACATTTTACAGGTGCGAATCGCATGCCAAACATACGAAGATTGCTGCTCAAGGTTTTCAGAAGACTGCATTTTGTCAGCGTCCTCCCCTAACAGGACTATGTCGTCTGCGTATTCTAAGTCTATAAGACTATTCCCTGGTAACAAGTCGATTCCTAAGTCGTTAAGTTCAGTTAAGGATACTTCCATTGGCATATTTATGATGAAGTTAAACAGAAAAGGGGAAAGTGGACATCCCTGACGGACACCACTGGTTGTTATCAATTCAGATGACAATTCCCCATAAGCCCTTACATGGCTACGTGAGTTTGAGTAGAGTGCCTTGATTAGTGCAATGTACTTCCTTGGCACTCCTTTCACAGTCAAACACTGCCATAGTACCTCTCTATCCACGGAGTCGAAGGCCGCCTTCAAGTCAACAAATATGGCAATTGTTGAACGCCTAAAAGTGTGTCTATGTTCTAGGATCTGTCGGAGTGAAGATATGATCTATGCACCCTCTACCTGGTCTAAAGCCCACTTGATTTTCCCTCGTTTGTTCCTCCCGAGTTCGGCTTAGTCTGTGCATGATTACTGAGCCTAGGATTTTAGGAAGGAAGAGAATACAAATTGGGTAGACAAAATGAAAAAAATGAAAAATTGGTAGAGCCTATAAGACGTGACTTATCATCCGTACCCATGAAAATACTTTACATGAGCTTGGAATTCAAAGGGGACTACTTAGCTTCCGATATCATGAAACGAAGGATATCGCAGTCCCTGAAAAGAACATTCCCTGCTGCATCTCTGAGAATAGCCTTTACTAGTCAACCATTACTGTTTAATAACCTGAAGGACAAGATCCCGCTGTTGACCAACTCTATGTGTGTTTATCAATTCACCTGCTCGTGTGGAGCTAGGCATATCGGTCGTTAGACTCGAGTTTTGTGAAATACGGTGCAAGAACACTATCCTGCATGGTTACGAAGAGGTGGAAGTGGAGCAATAAGAAGCGCGATCATTGAACATCTGGTCGATAATGATCACTCTATTTCTATAACCTCCGCCTTTATAGTCATCTACAAGGCAAAGAGTAATTTACCCAAATCCCTACGTACCCGACTCATCTGTTGCATTGCTGAAGCTTTGCCAATCGAAACAGAAAAGCCAGATCTCTGTGTACAGAAAAAGGTCGTTCAACCCCTCCAACTCTCATGGTCTTAATCCCTCTATGCTAAAGTATGGTAATACCCAATCATATTTTGGCTCTACCAATTTTTCATTTTGTCTATTCAATTTGTATTCTCTTCCTTATTACGACAATTGTTACTATTATTTCACTTGTTCCACTTGTCATTCTAAATCAATTCTTTTTTTACAGCGTTAAATTCTATGGTATCAAATTTACTCAATATTTCGCATTCAGCAGCAAATGTGTACTTCCTGGTGATCAACAGTAACACATTTAGTGAAAACTTATTGGAAAGGGATGTCTACTGACGCATTTCAAAGTAGATTAAAGTGTCCAATGACTTGCTTTTTAACAGCAGATAGTTGTCTGCTTAGTCCGAAAAAGCTCACAACTGATAAGAGTGTTTAGTCTTACTAATTCGAACTAGTATGCAGTCAGTGACGCATGATTATAGCGCACACCTGTTACTTCAAGAGGATATCTTGAGCATAAGTCAGTGGGAAGTGTTCTGTAACTGTAGGAAATGGCATGCGTAAACAGTTTATTTTTGTAGGGGATCAAAGAAGTGCGTCAAGTCAACTGAACCTCATCCATTTTACTGTCAACAATCAATTATTTTATCCCCGTACGGATAGAAACACATGGTGGCCGATATAATTTTCAGGGGACAAAAGCTCAACAGTGGCGTTGTGGTGTGATTGTGTATCTTTATTATCTATTCTTATCAACGCTAATAAGCACACCTTTGAACAGTCGTGGAAGTTATATTATCCCTTTGTTAATTGGTGACGGTGTTAAGAATAGCCTGGCCACCAGGTTAGGTGGGGCCAGGCTAAATATTCAGTAGAAAGTGTGAGCAAAGCTGAAACCTAGTAGGATAGATGATCACACAACAAACATGAGCGTTATTTCTATTAGAAGCCAACTGGAAACGAGCTCGAAGTCGCTCAAGCAGTGTAACTAACTGCTTTCTTAATGTTTAATAATCATATTCACGCTATCACAACTGCCCATGAGGAACATATAATGTGTGAGGGCTATTAATAGTCCCATGCTTTCCGAAACTCGGTAAGAAGAGATGTTTTAACCCATAACTAGCTGATCAGATGCCAAATACTTAAGTCAACAAGTTACAGAGCTACACTGTGAGATAAAATGCACATAATTCACTCAATTGATTAGCTTAAAACACCACTATGACATAATTTGTACGGTGAAAGAGTAGGGAATATTCACATGGTTGACAGCAGCCAATGTCAAACCTTTAAAAACTACCACACACACACACACTTCGTGTATTTGGATCTGTCTAACTACTAGGCAAAATGGCGAACGACACAAACTATGGCGCTGTTACAGACAAAAATGCATATCAATATGTGACTCCTGATGCAGCGTTTCAACATTTTCCCCACACAGTCAAACATTTGTTCTAAAAGAGATCTAGCTTAGCTTGTCCCGTGTAAAGTCTGATCAACTAGGTCTACAACAGACTGTCCATCATCACTACTCTAATATCTTCACCATTCTCCAATTAAGCATCAAAAATTTAATCGAAAAATTGAGACAAGAGGTAGTCTTACGAATTACACAAGAAACCACATAAACAGTTTTGTAATATGAACTCTCCAGTAAATAGTATGATTCCTATGATATTACCTGGATTATCAACAAATTTGTTTGAAGTGCTTAGAATTCAGATTTCAGTAAATATTAAAGTGTACCTTAGGTGTGCACAAACAATAGAGACTGGCAATACAAAAAAATGTAGATAAATCTTGGATTAGTGATGGCTGTGACGTTGATCATTGCTAGAAATGTTTGTAAAGTCATTGAGGACACTAAGATTTCTGACTATTGGCGACATGACTCAAGAGTGATTGTTCTGGATGCTGCTGCTGCTCTTCGGGTTGTGAGGGCGATTGTTACTTCCCGGCTGCCCACACCGTGGAAGGTTCTGGATGCTGGTGCAGATATTCCTGTCTTGAAGTTTAATATGCAGAAATTTGCATCTATGTGCCATAGTTGTTATTACTTATTCACATCCAAACCATAAATGTTAAAGATGTTTTGAAAACAACTAAAACGCCTAGTCACACTGACATTATTGTGGTTCCAGAGTGCCTAGAAAACCTTGCTTTCATCTTGTCATTACCTATATCACACTAATTAATGTCCTTATTTTCTGGGAGATCATGAATTAATGTTAAGTATTCTAAAAAATGTCAAGCATCTAAGTCAGTAAAACCAGGTTTACGAAAGTGGCAATAAGTTGAAAAATAAAATAAGTCAAACTAAAGAATTGAAGATTTTAGCAGTTGATAGACAAACTCCAGCAAAATTTTATCTACCTAAGCATATTATATTAGTGATAAAATCACCTGAGCTAGGTCTGTCTGTCAATCTGTCTGTATTCGACATAGAACTTCGCACATATGTGCGGCACTTCAAGTCGCCACAATCCATGTAGCACGCAAAGCAAGAGAAGGAAGTAGAAGAAATGCATAATATAGACAGTAAACAGAGGTGTGAGACAAAGGAATAGTAATAACGGAGAACAAAACAGTTTAATTGGAAATCATAAGTCATAAGGAGTGGATGCATCTGCGCCAACCATTGAGAACGATTTTGAGCCATGTCACCAATTGTTTCCAACCATTGGTTTTTACCATCCCGAGGGCCCCAACCAGGAAGTCTACATCTTCCTACGTGGCTTAGACTAACTGTTGTGGATTTCATTGACTGGTGCCATGTTTTGGTTTGACCGCCGCTAGCTCTTTTCTAGCCTGACCCTATATCAGCTAACATTGCCCGTCGAGGAAGGCGATGACTAGGCATACGTAGCACGGCTGTGACATTGACCATTGCTAGAAATGTTTGTAAAGTCATTGAGGACACTGAGACTTCTGAATACCGGTTAGATGGCTCAAGATTGATTGTTCTAAATGCTGGTGCCTGATTACAGCTGTCGAAACCTATGGGCATGTAGAAAGCAGATATTCCTGTCTTGAAGTTTAATAATAGAAAAATTTGCATCTATGTGCCACAGTTGTTATTACTTATTCATATCCAAACCATAAATGTTAAAGATATTTTGAAAACAACCAAAATGCTTAGTCACACTTACATTATTGTGGTTCCAGAGTGCCTAGAAAACCTTGCTTTCATCTTGTCATTACCTATATCACACTAAACAGTGTCCTTGTTTTCTGGGAGATCACGAATTAATGTTAAGTATTCTAAACAATTTCAAGCATCTCAGTCAGTAAAACCAGGTTTGCGAAAGTGACAATAAGTTGAAAAATAAAATAAGTCAAACTAAAGAATTGAAGATTTTAGCAGTCGACAGACAAACCCCAGCAAAATTTCATTTACCTAAGCATATTATATTAGTAATAAAATCACCTGAGCTAGGTCTGTCTGTCTATTTATATTCGACATAGAACTTTGCACATATGTGCGGCAGTTCAAGAAGTAGGAGAAATGCATATTAGAGACAGTAAACAAAGGTATGAGACAAAGGAATAGTAATAACGGAGAACAAAACAGTTTAATTGGAAATTATAAGTCACAAGGAGTGGATGCATCTGCGCCAGCCATTGAGAACGATTATTAGCCATGTCACCAATTGTTTCTAACCATTGGTTTTTACCGTCCCGAAGACCCCACCTAGTCAGGAAGTCTACACCTTCCTACATCACTTTAACTGTTGACGATTTCATTGACTGATACCATGTTTTGGTTTGACCGCCGCTAGCCCTTTTCCAGCCTGACCCTATGTCAGCTAACATTGCCTGTTGCCAAGGAAGGCGATGACTGGGCATACGTAACACATGTCCTAACCATCTACCTGAGCTAGCTAAGAAATGGCCTGTGCATTTTTCAACAGTAGACTACGTATTAGATTTTACAACCCAAACCTGGTTACGCGAAAATCCCAAAAAAGACCGTCCAAGTAAAATTACACCTGAACACTATCATAAGGGTTCCTGACATATTTATTCTCCAGAAAATTAAAACTTTACCTAGTTATAATCAAACGTGAAAATTGCTTACCCACTAGAATGCCTCAATTTGTGAAAATAAAGCACCATTAGTTAAATTTAGAGAGGATGAATGGATATAGCCTAACTATTAAGACTATGTCCAAGTTAATCATCGAAGTTCTGACAAACGTAATGTATATCCACCTGAAACTCAATTCTCTTCAAAAGGTACCGTAGCTGAGTCAATAGAACGAAAAGCACTGTCTTTGTTTAAAATTCAGACCAATTACTTGGGTTTTTAAATCATACAAAAAAACAAGGGGCTGAGAGATGAAAAACCATAAGTTCAACATATAAAAACCGATAATGGGATTGCTAATAGATGAAAATGTGAGGTGAACAGTTACGAACAAGCATGCTGTTCATGACTTCACGTAAGACAAGACGTCCGTGATTTTATTTAATTCAGACTGTCAAAACTATTTCAACTCTTACGGTCGTCTCAGTAGTATACAGATGCAAAGATGCTAGAATCACGGGCGTACGTTAAAGCCTAGGGGTCACGGTCCAAACAACAGAAGAATGGTTTAGGTTATGAAAGTAAAGAATTATGACTGACATGGAAAAATAAAGCCTGAGATACAATTTCTCGTCGATAGAGTTAAAGTATCAGTGAACCTTATGAGTCACTGAAAACAAATTCACTCGGGAATATGTCGGCTTTGGGAGTAGATGATTAATGCAAGCTCACCTTAACCTTCTCAACTTTTAGCAATCATCAAAAACTTCGGAAAATGCACTTAATGAATCTAGTTACAATCAATAAAAAGATTTTAGATCAGCCTTTAAAATGGTAAAATAAGACAGTTGGCCGATTTCAAAACGCTTATCATGTAGAAAAGGACGACCATAAAGCATACATGAACTCAATGTGGATAAGAGAATCTTTGAATAGGCTGTTATCTTAAGGATATAAAAGACTTATAGCGACTAACTTCCACCTCATTAATAACCACATCCACAAAATATAAAAATTGCATACATAATTAAACGTGAGATGTTAGGAAAATTCCTGCAACCTAGCTGACTAATATCCAACCACCGATGATAATAAAATGAGTTGTGGTGTCTGTACCATGGCATTAACAGCCAAAACAAATTACCTTAATAACAACGAAAATAACTCCACTCATCGACGTACATTTTCATGAGAGAATCCCAAAAGAATTTTCAGCTCTCGATACGTTCGCTGACAAAAGGTCTGATGTTCGAATGGTGAGGTCTTCTTAATGGCGACTTTTTCACCCCTCACTGTATCATATGCACCACTAGAAAAATTATCACTAGAACTCGGGCGAACTTACACCACCATGCCATATGCACCTTCCCCAATGTAATTTAGATCAGTGTAACGTGGGGAGACTTCGAAAACTTGATTTTTTATTACAACACGCATCATCTCTGAAACTAGCGTATCGTCCGCCTTATGTTTCGACCTACAACATAGCATAGAAAAACAAATCTGGTTTTAGCGTTACTCCAATCATGACATTGCAAACATACAAGCTAGCTCTTGTGCTTTGACGCTCTTTTTGGACGTTATATTTGGAAAAAGAGAAAAGTTATATTGAAATTTTAGAACTTTCGCTCACTTTTTCTACCTTATGTTGTTTTAATTGTTTAGCTGCATATTTGAACTTCAAACCACCACTGTGGGTGTTTTGGAAGAAAGGGAGAGAAAGGGTCGAATTCTAATGAAGCATGCTATGGGTAGCATGATACTTCTGAAGTAACAGATTGTCGACTATTATTTTTTGCTTGAGGATTCTATACAAATAATTAATACTACCTAATAAAGCATGCCAATATGTAATAAATTAGTTTTCAGGATAATACTGTAATCCATATTATCATAGCTACCTTTTGGCATCATAACTACAGGGGAAGCTTAGGCTGTCTAAATTAAGCTCATTAACAGGTAGGATCTCGAATCTCTGTCGTCGTCGAATTTTCCTCAATAGACATTTCAGATTATGCAGTTAGCTGATTGCTAGTCTACGTTAATAATAGTATGTGTTTATTCCTATCTATGTAGGACACACCAGTTTTATAGACATGGACTGGTACTATTTAAATTACATGAATTTGGTTGATGGTGAAATTACATGATTGCTATCCTGTTTGTCTTTAGTTTGTGGGAAAAATCTGATAACTGGTGATTCAATGGGCCACATCAAGAAATGTAGGAATATTGACTTCGCATTACCAAAAAACCCAAGTATGTTTTGGATGCATTACAGATATTTGGGAAATTAAATAAAGCTTGAAGTCAATTCCCTCATAAAACAAAAAAATGCATCTGATAATAATATATTCTCGGTTTATGTACATGAGGGACTCCAGTTGACTGGCATCATCAATATGATAGTGTACACACGGAGTAAGCATGTTTACAATTTTTCACTGACACATGATATATGTACAAGGAAAGGTAATCGAATAATAACAGTAAGCACACTTTACATAAGTTAAAACAATTTATACGATATAATCCTAGGCACCATTGTTGTTTGAATTTGTCGAAAGCGTGCGTAACAATTGCAGGTTGAGTCACATGTGGGCTATTCACAAAACCATAAACACGGCTTGTAAAACCTTGGTTAGTTTACCGACAATAATGTTTTCAGCAATATAATCTGTAAGAGGCTCACCACTGCAGTTAGTATGCAGTTACACAAGCAAAAAAGCATTAATGATTCAGCAAGCGGTGGATTTTTTATTCTTTTCGGTTAGAAACCAGAACCACTGTGAACTGAACCAGACAAAATGTCGGACGAAGCGTGCAGGAACAGAAAATTACCAGTCAGTGGGATTCGAATGCAACCGACAGCATATTTTCAATACTTCCTAAATATCCAGGTTTATTGGCGCTGTATGGGTAGTGATTTGGATTTGTCATCATGATCAACATGTGCATGGATTTCCAGATGTGTACTACAACTTGTTTGCCGTGCGGATTTAGGTAATTCCATTTCGTGTGGGGTTTGATTACTCTACGATTTTGACGTATTTAGTACTTGAAGGTGCATTACTAAACGTAACACTTCCCTCCAAGAGAACGTTAGTTTCTTTTTCGAAAAATGACAGAGATAATATTTACGGCATTACATCTATTCATCAAATTATATCATTACATTACACACACTAAATTCCTAACAGAAGGAAATTAACACAGCATGTCCATCCCACACATGTATACATGCAATTCATTACACCTCACACGCTAACATATGGTAAAACCCTATATACTATCTTACTGCTTACCAGGATTTACAGCAGTATGCCTGGAAAACCCCCATAATGAGGCCTGCCATACACGGCTACCAATATACAGACTTTCTTAAAATCCCTTCCTACCCCTCTCTTAACCGTACTCAACTCCACTTTCTAACTAAGCCATCTTTACTAGTCAGCACCCGTTGCACTAGGTGTAGTGGCCTTTAAATCCTACCAGTAAGAACGCACAGTGGGAAAGCTAAGTTCCCAACATGTATATTCCTACTTGTGTGAATTCATTTGGGTCGCTGTTGCATAAGCAAGACATGTTTATTGGAAAAGATTTTCCAAAACGCACTCTCTAAATAGTTGGCTTCTCTTTATCTTATGCGAGACTTATCACGATGATGAGTTACGCCAATCCCTGGTGTTGTTTATCACTATTATATACCTGGCTGCCAAGTGGAATATAGGGATTCAACAAAACGTCTCCGCTTTCTTCTATTTTTGCTACTCAATTCACCTGGCTAGCTTCATGACTGGTGGAAATCTCTCATCTTCTCCAACTTCCACCGACGACACACAGGTCCTTTGACAGCTGGACTCCACTTGAGCGCGACAATATTCAAAGGCCTCCTCAAAGTATGCCAAATTTGTCTCCATTCCCTCTAAAACATTTCGTGAGGCAGCATATACCAATAAAATAGTATACTGCATATTATTAGGCTTCATGAATATTGCTTCAGTTTCGTCAACAGAAACATCGATACATGAGCACATTATTGGCAGCATCATCTTTAAAATACACAAGGGTTAATGAACAGTATGCCAAAAAAGAATATGAGGTCCAGTTTCTATTCAAAAACTGTACGGTATAGAAGTATTCATCACTAGGACAAATTGAGCTGCAGTCTGTCTAGTAGGATTAAATGAGCAGTGGAAAAGCCATATATAATCTTACGCACAAAGATACATAGGACACCAGCCAGGTGGCAGAAATTGTTATGCTAAGTCCTCACGACCATTTAAACCCACCAGACTTTTTACAAGATCTGATTTCAGAAGGTAGTTGGTTCCAAAATGTGGAATATTTCATGGTGAAAAGGTGCGTCCTAATGGTTTCTCGGTGGGTGGCGACTTTGAGGAGGTAGTCGTGGTCGCGCAGCTGATATGATTTGATGGTAGCCCACATTATGGATGAGTTACTGTAGCAATGTTTTCTTATGGTTTCGGGGAGTATAAATAAATAGCACTTCGCCCTCCCGGACTATGGGGGTTCTAATTTCAGTCGTATAAACCTATCAGCATATTTCACTTGTCGATCGAACTCTATTATGCGTTTAGTGAGGAGTCTGCAGATACTTTCAGCTTTCTTCCGCCTGCTGACCTTAGATTACCATATGGAGAGCACAATATTCGAGTTTGGGGCGGATAAATGCATAGAAGCTGTAGATGAAGGAGGATGAAAGTAGTGCGTACGCTCCCCAACATGACATAACAATATTCCCGGCTTAGACCTCTCCCACAAAATAGAGCCGATCTCGATAGACGTAGAGGACAACCTCGACAACAGGGATCAAGACATAGTGTGCTGCACTCTACCTCTTCAACTAACTACCAGACACACACCTAAAATTTCCCTGGTTAACTATTGATATAGGGACTATAGAAATGCCGACTGGGAATTCCTACCATCGCTCCTAAAAAGCTCTAACTGGGGTGAATACCAATAATAACTTAGAAGCTACACTTCATATATATATTCCTGTTTATGAAGGAACATACCAATTGTACAAGCATGGATAAGTTATTATATAAATTACACATATTTCGATGTATGTTGAATTTACAGTTTGTTTGTTCTTTCTGACATTAGAGTCAGTCGGAACAGTCTGCAAAATAGTCTGTCTGTGTAACACATAAGGAGATATAGAAATATTGTCTTCACATTAACAAAAACCCAGCCATCAGATGAATGTAATACAAATATCCGGGAAAAATAAACCTTGAAGTCAATTCTCCTATATGGCTTTAGTGTGAACAGCATCCTTGAGTTAGTTTATTGATGTATTATTTTGAGGTGAGTGACGTATTTATTCCATTTTTCAGCAGTCCAGTCGTAGTCTTATAATAGGAAAGGTCACGTTGGATTGTTTTACTGCATCAAATGGGGCCGAGGTCGATTCTAGAACTATCCATCGGCGCCATTTGTGTCAGCATGGCAGACAGTACATGTAAGTCGAGTAAGATATTGAAAACCGTTTGAAAACCAGTTGCTCCTTTATTTCAGATCAAGAATACTCCTTGTACAGAATGTTGGCCAGCGTTTCCATATGGCAGCAGCGGATCGTTCATTGAATTTGAGTGTGAATTTACTTAAATGGTCATTTCAGTTTAAATGTAGGGTTGTTCGACCTCGACCAGGAGGTATATAGAAGTGCAGGCTCAGCATCAGAATCCCAGAAAGAGAAAGTATGTAAACATGAAAAGAATATTAACCTTTTTATGTATATATAAATGTTTATAAATATATATAACCGTATAGTAAACATTTCCTACATTCTAGTTGTGTTTTCATGTATTTTTGCGAAGTCTTAGAGTTTATATAGTGTCATAATATTTAGGGGTGAGTCCAGGAGTTAAAGTGTTCTAATAGCTGATGCGTTTCAAATATAAGGGGTGCGGTCTGATTGGCATAGTCAGTGGGATTGTTGCATGCTCTATTTGACTAAATTAGCGTACACGTATTTCCTAGTACTTCTTCACGTTTATCAATGTGCGCAGACGTTGTGGCTACTCGACGCCCACAACGTAAAATCAGAAGGCACTTGTGAAGAGTGTAATCGTGTATTATAGCCGTAGTCAAATTTCACAATTGTATTAAGGTAACGTTCAACAGTAAATTGGCAAATATTTACGAAGTACATATAAAATCGGTCTGTGTGAACATATAATATGAGTATGCAAATTAGATTAAAATCGTATGTTTATAGTTGGTATAGGGGTACTACAGGATGAAACAGTTTATATAGCAAGCGTTTGAAGGTCATAATAGAGTGACAGGTCCTTATTTCTAGGGGCACACTGTTCCAGATCTTAGAGTACATGACTATGAAGAAGTTTGCATGGAGTGATGTCTTACAGCTTTTCCCAGATTCTGTGCACACTTGGTTACGAAGGTTGTAAGAGCCTTCCGGTGAAAACTGTAACCCCTTGCTGTCTGAGAATGATATTTTATGCAAGACTTCAAAGAAGAATGTTTGATTAATGCTGAGTCGTCATATCCAGAGTGGGTCGATACCTAGAGTTATACACCTTGATGTGTAGTCCTTTTCGCAGTCAAATCCTAGTAGTTTAGACGTGAAGTATC